AACAGCAGGTTAACTGCCCGGTGAGCATCAGATGGATTTTCAAATGTTGATTTTGTAGGGATTTGATGGATTGGTCACAGGATTTCATCATGAGCTGATATCAGTTAGAGAACCATTGGAAAACCAACAGGGAGTAATGGACATCTGTTTTGTCCTAGTTTAGGATACTTCATCAGTACGAACCCGCCGGGATTTGAACCCAGGACCTTCTGGTTGCAAGTCCAGCTCATAGATGAAACTCGAATTAGTGTCAGCTCGTGATGAAACCCTCCAACCAATCAAACACAATCCCTACAAAACCAATACTTAAAACCTAATGAATTAAAAATAATATTATCTTGCTTCTATTGAAATATCGATCAGATGAAAATCTGTTTAATTCAAGAATAACTGAATGTGATATTACATAGTAAAATTTCATTGAGGAAAAGTATAAATTATTCCTGTACTTTTAATAATTTACAAATAATATAAACATTAGGACAGTCCAATGTTATATATAAAGTGAAATAACAAAAAGATTTGTAGTTCAGGTAGATGACCTTAATCTGGATGTGTTCTCTCATAATGCATAATGTAGAATCATTGATTCGGAGCACACTTAAATACACTCACTCACATTTGAATACATCAAATTCACATAAGAAAAAGAATCACGCCACGAAATTCCTTTTCTAAACTTCTTTGTCAAGAGAACAAACACAAGTATACAGAATGACAACCCACAAAGACTAAATACTCAAATACAATAGCATTAAAAGAACAACATACAAAAAGGAAACGTGTACAAATATTGTTGAATAGAGCTACAACACAATGTAGCCCTCCAGCCCTAAAGAGGATAGAAGATAAATATTAATTAACTATCATCCGGACCAAAAGACGGATATCCTGACAATTTCTATAAAAAAGAGTGTCTGCATATTCATCAACCTGAAACCAATCTGGAAATCTTCGTCACTCAGCCAGCATCAACAACGAAATTCAGTCGGATTTTCAATACAAACGTCAAGTCAGTTCTTCTATACGGATCAGAAACTTGGAGAGTCACAAAGAATATTTCCAACAGCCTGTTGCAGACCAGACATTTATCAACAACTGTCTTCGCTCTAAACTGAATGAGGATCAGATGGCCGGGCCGGAAAGAATCACCAACATGAAACTATGGCGGGGAACAAACAAAACAAGAACAAACCAATCGCCAACCAACAAATATGCAGGAGAAAGTGGAGATGGATTGGACACCCGTTGAAGAGGCCCGCCGGGTGACATCGCCCGTCAGGCCATCGCTCGAGTGGAACCCAGAAGAGAAGCGGCGAGTAGGACGTCCTACGGTGACATGGAGGAGATCGTGTGAAGAGGAGCTGAAGAATTATGGACTAACATGGATGCAGGTGAAAAGTACAGCGGAAGATAGAAGCCCTATGTTCCACTAGGAACCCAAGGGAACAATAATAATAATACACTCGATTCAACAAGAAACCGTACTCAGAAGCCACAAGAAAGTCCATCTTAGATATATGTGTATAATATTTCTGAAGTATTATTATTATTATTGCTCCCTTGGATTCCTAGTGGAACATAGGGCTTCAACTGCACGTCTCCATTTTCTTCTGTCCTCTGCTGTACTTTTCGCCTGCATCCATGTTAGTCCATATTCTTTCAACTCCTCTTCACACGATCTCCTCCATGTCACCCTTGGACGTCCCACACGCCGCTTCCCTTTCGGGTTCCACTCGAGGGCTTGGCGCGCGATGTCACCCAGCGGTCTCCTCAGCGAGTGTCCGATCCATCTCCACTTTCTCCTGCATATTTGTTGGGCGATTGGTTCTTGCTTTGTTTGTTCCCATAATTCCTTGTTGGTGATTCTTTCCGGCCCGGCCATCTGATCTTCAGTATAGAGCGAAGACAGTTGTTAATAAAGGTCTGCAACAGGCTGTTGGAAATATTCTTTGTGACCCGCCAAGTTTCTGATCCGTATAGAAGAACTGACTTTACGTTTGTATTGAAAATCCGAATTTTGTTGTTGATGCTGAGTGACGAAGATTTCCAGATTGATTTCAGGTTGATGAATGTGTTTCTCGCCTTCCCGATTCTCGCTCGATTTGACATCCTCGTCCGTTCCCCTCCTGTAGTTGAGACAATGCTCCCTAGATAAGTGAATGAAGTAACCTCTTTCAAATCCCTCCCGTTGATGGTGATTGACGTTGGATGTTGTTGCTGTTGTTGGTTGGTTATTTTCATAACCTCCGTCTTGTCTATGTTTACCTGGAGTCCTGTCTTCGCCGGCTGCTTCTTCGACCAGTTTGTCGGTTTTCGCTTGTAAGTCTTCGATTGTGTGTGACATCAAACATAAATCATCCACGCGCGAAATCCAGGTCTTCTAGGTTCTTCACGTCGGTCCAGGATATTCCTGTCTTCTCGTTTCCCACACTGTCTGACGCATAATCCAGTTCCACCACAATTAGGAATATCATTGGTGATAATAAGCACCCTTGTCTGACTCCTGTGTTTACTCCAAACGCCTCGCTGAGTTTTCCGTTGTGGATCACTTGACATGTGCCGTTGTCGTACAGCTGTTGAATAAGGTTGATGAATATTTGGGGTACGCCATAGTACTCGAGTAATTTCCAAATTACTTCACGATCAACGCTGTCGAAGGCCTTCTCAAAGTCTATAAAGTTGAGGTAGAGGTTTGATTGCCATTCCATGCTTTGTTCTGTGATGATGATGCGTAGAGTTGCAATTTGGTCAGTACATGATTTGCCTTTCCTGAATCCAGCTTGTTCTGGTCGGAGTTCTGTCTCCAGTGCGTCCTTTAATCTCTCCAGGATGATGCGACTCAGGATTTTACTTGGCGTCGATAGGAGCATGATTCCTCGCCAGTTCTTGCAGAGTGAGGCGTAAGTCGCCCTTCTTTGGTAGTTTCACGAGGTAACCTTTCCTCCAGTCAGTAGGCACCTTTCCCTCCTTCCAGACCTTTTGCAATAATGGAGTCAGCATGTCTGCTGTAGTCTCTGGGTCCGCTTTCAGTGCTTCAGGGGGTATTCCATCTGGTCCGGCTGCTTTTCCAGCTTTCAGAAGCTTGATTGCGTTCAAGACTTCAGCTCTCGTTGGAGGATTGGTGTCAACTTGCAGTTGTGTGCGCGCTGTTGTTGGTATTTCTGGACGGGTTGCAGGTGATGGTCGGTTCAAGAGTCCTTTGAAGTGATCCGCCCATTGTTTAATCTGTTTTTCTTCCTTGGTAATTGGGTTCCCTTGGCTGTCTTTTATAGGTTTCGCTTGTGTTGATCTCTTCCCGGATAGAGATTTGGTTATCTGATATAGTGTCCTCAGGTCCCTTTTGCCTGCTGCCTTCTCAGCTTCAGTGGCCAGATTGTCGTAGAATCGTCTTTTGTCCTTCCTAGCACTCTTCTTCACTTCTTTGTCCAGTGCTGTGTAAGTTGAGCTCAGCGTCTCCTTCTCCTGTCCGTCCTTGCATTGAATCATTTTCTCTTTCACCATTCTCCTCTCTTCTATTAATTTCCAAGTGTCCGTTGAGAGCCATTCCTTGTCTTGTCTCTTCTTTCTTCCTAGAACCGTTGAACACGTTTCGTTGAGAATCGCCTTCAGAGACTTCCAATGTTCTTCCACGCATGATTCTTCAGTGATGTCGCGTAGTGTTTCCTGCTTTGCTCTGACAGTTGCAGTGGAAGTGTCTTTTGTGGTTGTGTCCTTCAGTAATTGAGTGTTGAACTTGCATTGTGGCCTATCCCCAGCTATCCTCGAGGCTTTTAGTTTCACCTTGAAAGTCCCTTCTACTAGATAGTGGTCTGAACCCACATCTGCTCCTCTCCTTGACCTTGTGTCCAGTAGGCTCCGTCTCCACTTTCTTGAAATTGAGATGAAGTCTATTTGGTTCTTGGTGTTTCCATCTGGTGAAATCCATGTCGTCTTGTGTATATCCTTGTGTTTGAACACACTACCACCAATCACCAAATCATTGAAGGCGCAGAAGTCTGAGAAGAGTTCACCATTGTCGTTCATTTCACCGAGGGCCTCACGACCCATGGTGAGTTCTCTTCCTGTGTTGTCTCCTCCCAGCTTCGCATTCATGTCGCCCATCAGGATTTTGATATCGCCATTTGGGACGTTGTCCATTATTGCTTGTAGTTGTCTGTAGAACGCCTCCTTCTTCTCTTGTTCTGAGACGTTTGTAGGCGCATAGCATTGAATGACTGTAACTTTCCTTCCTTTTGAGTTGAACCTGGCTGTCATTATCCTGGAGGAGATTGGTTCCCACTGCATGAGAGCTTTGGTTGCTGTTGGTGACATCATGATGGCCACTCCCTCGGTGTGCTCATGGTTGTCCTCTAGGTGGCCGGAATAGATTACTGTCTCTCCAGTAGGTAGTTGGCACCTTCCAGTTCCGTTCCATCTGCTCTCGCAGATTCCCAACACTTCTATTCTGTACCTTCTCATTTCAGCGGCTATCTGGGCAGCCTTTCCAGTTTCGTACATTGTGCGAACATTCCAGGTACCCATCCTTACTTTTGCTTTCATCGAAAGAAGGCACATCGGCTGACTGGCTTCCCGAAGGCTTTCACCAGCCTGCGTCATTTCACTTCCCCGATTCCAGCGAAAAGTAAGGCTATTGCTTATGTTTTTAGAATTTTTAATATATTTATTCGTTGAAGTTTCTGTAGCGATTTGGTTGTTTTACAGGGGTGGAGTTGCTAGCACCACGCCCCAACCCTCCCTCTTTACCCGGGCTTGGGACCGGCGAGAAAACTAGTAAGCTAGTAGCCTAGCAAGCTAGTATCTGGTGAGGTTAATATTTCTGAAGTAATGGTTAAAATTCTGCGACCATTCGGACTAGATATCTCACACAAACCAACAGAATCACTTTACTTAATTTTGAAGTTTTAGTGCTGAAAATTTTGTCTAGGTGGAAGAATGAGAGCTTCGCCATTAAACCACTCAACACAGAAACCTAATTACATCAATATATATATTCTTACCATAAAACTTATCATTTTCGTATGAATTACGATAACCGTATTGGCATATTTTTTCACAAAGTGGAAAACCGTAAGTTTCTTTCCCACACTTAGGATATTTAGAAGTTATGTAATGACTGCATTTTGGAAAAGGAAAAGGTTGACAACCAGTCTTTTCTTCATATGATCCACCAGTAACTATTCCATTTTCCATCCAGTATGTCAAGACATCTAATTCACTTCCAGCGAAACATCCTATACCATAACCACAACTTATAGCATCACGAGCACTCAGTTGAACATCAATTCTTCCATTCGATCGGATACAAATTCTATCACTAATAGAATCAACAGTTGCAATGACCTGAAGACAGAGAAAAAAGAAAATACTTTTTAAGAGTTAATGATTAATGGATATTCTCACAATTTCATCTCAAAAAAGGTCTAAACTCGAATTATACTCCCAGCAGAAAATCATCCGGGTTCAATTCCCTGGCGATTTACTCCTAAACGTTGCTTAACCGGTAGCATGCCCGGTATACGACTGCAATTCAAGGGCGATATACCGAGTGAAATAATTACAAAGAAATTAAGAAAATCAGTTCAAAGAACTTTTAATGCTGGCGAACTACACATCTTATTCTCTACGCGACCGATGGTGATTCCTTGACTTAAAGATGAAGTACCTAGACTAGCCACTTCAAATTGTATCTATCAATTCAACTGCGCTTGTGGAGCGAGTTATATTGGCCTTTGCTCTAGGAACTTGATTTTTCGTGCTTAAGAACATCTCCCAGCATGGCAAAGTAAAGGTGTTGTAAAAACCATCAAGAGTTCCATAGTAGACCATCTGGTCCAAACCGGCCACAAAGCCAGCATAGAAGAATCTTTCTCTATCATCTACCGGGTGCCAGATAAATTGCCAAAAACATCAAAGCACCGCATGCTCCAAACAGCAGAGGCTATTGCAATTCGCCTCAAACAACCAGTGCTCTGTATGCAGAAGAAGCAAGTCTAGCCAACCACTACTACTGCCCTGACCTTCAGTAGAGACTATAAATTCATGAATTGGTATTATTATCTTTCCTGATTTTTGTGACATTCAGTTTATTGATGCGTTGATGCTATTGAATTGTAATCTGCTGATATTATTGATTCGATGTTATTTAAACAACATTAGTGCCGTTCATAACACTAATTCATTCATTCATTCACTATAATGTATATATAACTGTAGAGCCTGATGATGAAGGGGTTATCGAAAAGAGTACTCTTTGTGCAGTATCCATTCGATAAAGAATTCCATTTGTTTTCTTGAATAATAATAATAATAATCACTTTATTCCACAACAATAACAATTTACAGCATGGAATTTTCAGCGTTAGGACAAACCAGACAAAACTCTAACTCCTAACCTCCCAAATAAATGAAAATGATTCTCAAATTTACCCAATTCGCTGCACAATGTGATTCATCATTTACTCGTCTTATCCTGGAGCAGTTTTTCCAATATTCTCTTGCATCAAAAACTCGGGGAATTTTTATATCCAAATTTCTGTGACTAACAACTGGAATTGACTTTACGAACTGATTTTCTGACTGAATATTTCTTCTAAATTGATGTTGATTAGTTATTGCTTTCCATTGAAACTTTGGCTAAAATTTAATAATAATAATAAATTATACTTGATAGTTCAAAAATATTTTTTTATAAAACTATAATGCTCTTTAGAATAATATAAATATGGATTTAAAGACAAGTTAAAGTAGTGATGTAATGACTCAAACAAGGTAAAATAGAAACTACAGACATCCAGCTGGGTATAACACTTTATGATCTTAATGAAATTTTACTGATGAAAATAATATCACAGAGTCAGTTAGAAGATCACAGAGGCTTGCAAGCAAACCGAGACATCATTATAAATACGCAAGGAGACGTTCGACATGTGGCGGATGTGGTGATTGACAATTTCTATCTCTGTATTGTTTAAATACTTACTGTTGTTTGTTAATATATTTATTATATGAATTGAAATATAATCCCGCCAAATACAAATTCCTGAATTCATCCCTCTCTGCGTTCTGAAAGCTGTTATGTGAAAGTGATTTGGTAGAAGTTCACGGAGCTTATCATATGGCAGAGAAATTGGTTTATCTGGAAATGACAGAGTTTTCACTAGGCTGTACGCATCTAGCCCAATAGCAGAAATAAAATGAGCTGAAATTTTGTCATCACGAAAATTCTTCGACAAGCACCATGTGTCGAAGAATTCAAGATAATTGGCGATTTCCCGTGGTGAACCATTCATAGGAAACTTTCTAAGATTATTTAATTCTATAGCGACGCAAAAATGTCATAATTATTTGTAATAGTAGTATTTGTATTTCGCAATGACCGAATTAAAGGAATTCAATCAAAAATACAGAGAGGGATGAATTCAGGAATTTGTATTTGGCGGAATTATAATTCAATTCATATAATAAATATATTAACAAACAACAGTAAGTATTTGAACAATACAGAGATAGAAATTGTCAATCACCACAAATTTCGACCTGGTTTTCAGCTGATTCTCATAGTTCACTCGGTAAAACTCCAGGCTGATAATCCAGAGGCATATGGTTTCAATCCTGTTATAAAACAGCTGTTCATCTCAACTTTGGTCACCCACCACCTATGGTATCACTATCAGTTCACTAGTCTAAGTTTATTTTAATGAAAATATCCTTATTTATGAGACTGAGGCCTTACACTATCAAGCATATTCAAAATACTTCTGACATCAGATCATATATAATTAATTGAATTTAAGAGAGCAGAAGTCAAATGACCACATTTTGAAACTCCTTCGGATAGTCATGTTAAGGGAGAATGTCCAAACTAATAAAAAATTAGTATTTTTGTTTTATGATTACTGTTATTATTCCCTTTGTAACAGCAGAATGCAAGGCACGGAAGCCAAGATATATATATATATATATACATATAGTTTTATATTCTTTAATCAATCACTGAGCATTCGATTTTGGTTTATATCAAAGAACATGAAATAGAATGTTTAAATACATATATTATCAAGTATCTTGGACTTATTCTCTCCTCTGATCTCTCCTGGTGTTCCCATGTCTTAGCAATCTCCAGTAAAATATTCCGCCTGACAGTTTACATTAAGAGGTTAAGGCACTCGAGTTTAACTCAACCACTCCTCTTACAGCTAGCTCATGAACTCTTGCATCTTACCTATACTTCTTTATTGTTCACCCTTATTCTTCCCTGGTTTGCTTAAAAAGGACTATGTCAAAATTCGTAGAATGTTGAAGACTGTCAGTAGGGTGAGTGGTGTCCCAGTGGACCACATAGTTGACGTCGTTGTCGATAGGCACTTGACTTCGTGCAATAAATTTGCTAAAGGGATTTTGTTTGACTTGGAGCATCCACTAAACCCTCAGCTTTCACCATGCATCTCCTCAGGTAGAACAAGGAGTAACTTCAGAAAACTGTATGCTCGCACGTCTAAGTATAAGAATTCTATGATACCATACTTGGCATGTATTTTATGTGATGAAAATAGTGTCAGGCAAGAATTAACTAACATTTTTTCATCTAGTAAATAAACAATTTCCTCCATCCACCCTTATATACCTTCAAGTTTTACTTTTATTATTTCTATTATATTTATGGTCCTGTTGCTTCTTCGTTTGTTTTACTTTCATAATTGCAAACACCAACTTATCTCTATGACTGCTGTAATCTTTGTTTTTCCCCCCACCATATCGTGTAAAGAGAACATGATATTCAATATTTCTAAACATGCTAGGATTTCTATACCGAATCGACAATACTGTGTGAAACAAGCCCCGGGGCAATTTCCACTTGTATTATTATTATTATTACCTTAGCTGTTTTAATTATTATTATTTCCATTTTATATGCTGTATGTTTTTGACATTACCCCTATTGTAAATTTGGAAAACTTTCTGTGTGATTAATTTTATTCATAATTTGAGGAAATTAGATGCAATATTGTGATTAATGCTGAAAATTTCATTCTGTACTACAAGTACTGTTTTGGGAATCATTGTTTGAAACCGATTGTCTGCATCACACCACTCCACCTGGAGTTATGAACTGAACATAGGGCTTCCTCATCATATCTTCATTTCTCTCAGTCTTCTGCAATCGTCTTTAGCTGGCGAATGAGCTCTCATTTCCTCCTCACGACATCCTCGATACACCCGTAACTCGTCATTTCCTATCCGGATTCCACTCAACAACCTGCATAGAGTGGGATGTCATATAGCGGTCTTCTCAGTTTATGTCAAGTTCATCTGCATTTTCTTTTAAATATATGTTGGCCCGTAGGTTCTTGCTTAGTTCATTTGTCGAAACCGGGTATTGGGTTAGCGACTTACCCCAGAAAATCAATCTAATCACTAGAGAAACTTACACCAAATAGGTGTCGTGTATTACTCAACTTTACAAGATAACTTGAAGTTATATATGTTTAGCCAATTGAACTTAGACTAATTTGTGCTTTGATCTTTATCACATCACCTGACATCACTTTTTGAACCGAAAGACAAAAATATAAAAAACAGACTACTATTTCCTTCAAGTTTATAACTCGTTGTTAACACTGTGACCTCCAGAATTACGCCAACATGCTCACCTACTAGCCTAGTAATTTTAAATCCGATATCTTATGTAATCACCAGAGTATATTTTCGAAGAATTTCAAGGTACCCACTGTTTTCTGGTGTTTTGCAGCAACTCCATAACTGATATTGGTTCTTAAGGAATAAACTTTAAACCAGCTAATTTGTAATACAGTCTTATTATTATATTATTATTATTGTTCCCCTGGGTTCCTAGTGGAACATTGGGCTTCAGCTGCACTTCTCCACTTGCTTCTGTCTTCTGCTGTACTTTTCACCTGCATCCATGTTAGTCCATACTGTTTCAACTCCTATTCACACGATCTCCTTCATATCACCCTTGCACTGACGTCCCACTCACCGCTTCCCTTTCAAGTTTTACTCAAGTGATGGCCTGACGCGCGCACGATGTCACCGAGCGGCCTCCTCAGCGAGTGTCCAATCCACCTCTACTTTTCCTGCATATTTGTTGGGCGATCAGGCTGCTAGCTAGATTATCATCTCGCTAGTTTTCTAGCCGGTCCCAATCCCGGATAAAGAGGGAGGGTTGAGGTGTGGTGCTAGCTGCTCCACCCCACAAAACTTAACCAAATTGCTACAGAAACTCCAACGCATAAATATATTCAAAATAGAGTGTTAAGTAAATGTTAAATTATCATCCCCAGATTCTTTGTTGATTCTGTATTTGAATAAGGTATACTTTGTTAGGAATAACAGTCAAAAATTCATTTTTGTGGAGAATAAAAAGGTGAACTTTAAATGAAATGAGACTAGAGATATATCTGTATTATAACAGCATAAATATAATCGATAAATAGTATTAATATAACATTCTAAAGTACACAGATCCATAATAAAAAGAAAAACAAGGAAGTCCCCGGTATTTCTAAAATGCCATTTTGATACTTTGATGCTACTTATCAAATTTGCTGAAAATTTTGTTTTAAATTTCTGATTAAATTCCCCCTCTGCTTTATTCAAAGCGTAAGTTCAGGAGTTGTTATATGATCTGCCTGTTAGTATCTGAAACTAATAAATTTGACCGGGAAAAAAATTTCACATTTCTGTCTCATAATTACAATTGAAAAGACTGGCTCAACTGCATTTCTCATTCCTTAGTTCTTATGAATGCGTCATCAAAATTATTTCCAACAACTGTTTTTGCTGGCGCAATGCGGAAAATCAAATGCCTGGTAGATTAGGATAAACAAGCAACAAGGAACCCTAGCACGCAGTGAACCAAACAAAAAGATGTTACCCAACAAATACGTGGAGTATAATGAAGATGGACTTGATATGCGTTGAGGAGGATCTTGAGTAATATGACAGAACATGCCGTCTATTGAAATGAACAAATTAGGCGTAGGTCCTGGGATATAACATGGAGAAGACCATGTGAGGAGGAATTATAAGCTTGTGGGCATTAGTGAGACCTTGTGAGATTGATGTTAGGGAAGGAAACGAAATGAAGATGTGGTCCTGAAGCTCATTGTTTCACTCGGAAGATAAGGAACTCATGAGTATTGCAAAAAAATACTGAAGTAAGTGACCACATGTTTTAATTCAGTCTCAATCACCTTGCAGTCAAAATTATATTTACGTCTTCTAAGAGTTGCTGATATTTCAGTGTAGAATGAATATTCAAGACCTGAGGTTTCAGCTATTGTAAGTAGTCATAAAAACTATGTAATCTTAAGTAGTAAAATGTTTTCCATAGAAAAAATATGTATACAATATGTACAGGTATTGGAAGGTCATTTCACTTTACAAAGTTTCAAGAATTTTAAACTGTCACCGTTTTAGAGACCAAAGTGGAAACTTGCATCCCCAGGGATAAGAGGAGTTTCCTTAAATAATATTAATTAAGTCATAAACACACACATTCACTAAAAATCCAAGTATGATATCATGATTACCTTTCATTCTGTTTTCGAAAATCTGTATTCATAGATTTTATCCTGTCAAATGTCAAAACATTCTATCTTTTGAGGTCACTATTTTGAATATGACGGTCATGTTTATGTTCTGTAAGGCACAGCTTCCAGCGGTCGTCTAGTCATAATTCTTAGTGTAGTTCAAATGTTAGCCAGTGGTTTGATTCATATAAATTTATTCTACCAGCATGATTGTTGATTTGGGATAGTACTAATTTAAATTTATCGATTATTTGGATACCTGAATAGAAATGTTGTGAAGAGCCGACTCAGGTATATTGATCAACTTGATATGGTAGATTTATCTAAACTGGATCTGATCTTATTAACACCAGATGGCTTTTTTATTTCTAAAGTTGGTTCAACATTGACTATATTTTTCTAGATCGGTCAACTTCAGTGCTTTCCAATAATTAGTTCGGTAAAAAAGATCGGCATAAATAATCTTCACCAAATTTCGAATCCCCGACAGAAGGTGTCTTACAAAGCGTTTATCTGGAGTAAAACATCTAAATCAGAACAGTGGGTATTTAAACTATATGTTCAAATAATTGCTTTTAAAGACTAAATTCTTTGGCTGCTAACAAGATATAACCTATCAAGACAGATTTCCAGTTTCGAAAACAGCACGAAGGTCAATCATAAAATACAGTCATGCCTTAAGTATTCTTCGTTACTTATATTGCATACTGTTGTGGAGTCTAAAATTGATCAAAAGCTGTGACTTAGTGGTCTAAACATTCTATTACCAGACTGTCGGCTAGGGCTTTGAATCCCGCTCCACCTATCAGGATTTGGGCAACTATGTAGTATTATTAACCCTCAAACAACAACATAATATTAGGCTGAGTATAAGAGATGTCTTTTGTTATGCCATTCATCACAGACCCTCTAAATGCTATCAGCTCACAACCAACCCATAACACATCACTTTTAAAATAAAAAATCAATTGATATACCGTGAATTCATTACGAGTTCAATCATGAATTGATATCAACCAGAGAACCACCGGAAATTAGGGAGTACTAGAGAGTCACTTCTCCCTAGTTTAGGACTCTTCAGTAAACAAAGGAAGGACTTTCACGTTAAGAGGCAAGCTCACTGACCACTAAGCTGCTGATTCATGACATATTAGCACAACGATCAGTCAAGGTTGTCACACCCAACTTTATGGATCTCACCAGTCATAACTTCCCACCAGAATCTCAGGTCAATTTTACTCTGTAGTCAGCTACTAGTTAGCCTAAGACGTTTTCTTTATTCCTTTACGTTCCCAGTGGAACATAGGAAACTTCAATCTAGAGGCTTGAAGTTTTGGTAACGGTGGTGTTTATTTTTACGGGATGGGATAGGTAGCCGCATCCCCAACCTTTCTTCTTCACTAGTCTTATTACTGGTTTAGCGAGGTAGAGGAGTGCGTCGACTGGGGATCGAACCCCGAACCACCGCTGTGCCACAGACGTACTAGCTTTCAGGAATTGGTTTTCAGATGCACGGTTATTATTATTATAATTAAATAATTATAGTAAACATTATGAAGAGCAAACAATAAAGCATAGTTATAAGCAAACTATAAACCACCTACATTTTGATTTATATATTTGAATAATTCATTCCTAGATGATTGTTCAATGTGTCCATTTTGAAAAGATTTTAAACAATAATTGTGTACAATATTCAATAATAGTAAGAATATATGATATGAAATCATTTCTAAGTAATTATATGGATATATAATACTAGCGTATATATATTGCCTAAGATTTCAGAATTCTTTTGAAGTTTAATCTAGTTTACGCCGTAATGACACCATAATTTGAACGGTATATATTTATCTTAAGATCTCATTTTCATCACGATATGTGATCTTATTATTAAGCATTTAATACAATCAGATGATAAATAAGCTAATTAGAAGAATCGACCTGTGCATTCATACCATATTTGTTTAAGTTTTAATTATACAAAAAACTGTTCAGTTTAATTATGTACTCAACAAACTCTAAGATTCAAGGTCTAATAAATATATATTTTTTTTCTCAAAACTTTTCTTTTTGTAATAATTCACATAGCGTATGATAAAAAGTCTTCAGTTAAGATATAGTTTCATTCTGTTTTGTTAATCCGCTGAAATCTATAGTTTTTATTTTGAAAGATTGTGTGGATATTTATGTATGTATGTATGCATGTATGTATGTATGTATGTATGTATGTATGTATGTATGTATGTATGTTTCAACAAAGTTCACATTTTGAAGTTTGCAAAAAAAACCTAGCCATTTGGTATATGACATTCATTATTATAAAAGCTCAGTGGTAATGTCTATGATTGCAGCACTGAGTGACGCGGGTCAGAATCTCAGACGAGATAATAAGCCCTTCAGGATTGCAGAGACGCCTTGGTGACGAGTGCTAACTAGTACGAAACCTAGGTCGAAGGCTTCCTACCAACCATTTGAGTCTTTTATATTTCCCAAAGAATGAAAAAAAAACAGAAAGATATAGCTTTTACTGTCGTTTCACCACTTACTGCAGGTGTCTTTATCAAAGTAGTATCAGACAAGGATTTACAAAATCTTGCTGATATATACCAACATTAAACATGGCTGAAAATGTGTTCTGAAGCCATGTAGCTGGCTGAACACTTGTTATTTCATTTGGAGCATACAGATGTCAGACAATATTAGAATACCCGTTGAGAAATTAAAAAAAAACACATTAGATACACTAAAAAGTAATCTTGTTCATGTGGAAGACCGAATTTCAAAGGATTCAAGAACTGTCTACGTCTATATACAGTCTGTATATACGTATATCAATAAATATGGTTATAGAGGCAGTCAGAAATGAACTCATTTCTGACGAAGAACTTAAACTTAGAACGAAATTGTCACTGGAGGACATGATGCTAGGAGCGCGGCTATGCCTGACTTCAACAGTATTTCAATTCCAAGGGGAAATATACAAAACAAACTGAGAGAGTTGCCATGAGGTCACCAATATCCCTGGTTGCAGTAGATATATTCATGGAAAGGTGGGATAAGTTAGCGATTGAAACGCTCAGCCCCACTCCAAATGTATGGTGGAGGTATGTAGATGACATATTGACTGTACTTAGAACACAGAATATAGTTGGATTTTTTCAACACATTAACTCAATTCACTTATGAATTGGAGAGTCAAGAAGGGGAGCTTCTAATGTTGTAGCGTAAAAAGGAAAGAAGCTGGAAAGTTAAACACTAGTGTGTGTTTACAGGAAACCCACAAATTCCAACAGATATTTGGACTTCCGATCATCCCATTCTGTGCCAGTAAAAATAGGATTGGTAAAAGGTTTAAGTGACAGAGCACAAAAACTAAGTAGTACCAAGGAAAATCTAAGACACGAAATGAGGTATATAAGAGAAGCTTTAAAACTTAATAATTACCCTGATAAATTAGTCAGAAAGTATGTAGGGAAATGTAAAAATAAAAATAAAATCCATAATGATAGTAGTGATAGTGGTAATAAAAATAACAATAGTAATAACAATAATTGCAGTAATAATGGTAATATTAATGGCGACATGCATGTCAAACATGTACAGGATTATGGTAACACCAACAATAGGGAATATAAATCATCCATGTTAATTCCATACATGGAAACCTTAAGGAGAATTCTTAATAATGCAGGAATAAAATAATTTTGGGGAATTATTTACCCCTACACTATAAAATCAGGTCACATGATTGATTGAATCTGACCATACTGGAATCACTCAAAAATCACAAAGAATGTCTAATAATGAGAAGCACTTCATACTATGTGGAATCCAAATAGTCTGAATGTGAATAAACGATTAAGATAGAGTTTAACCTATGTCCACAACCATCCTAACCTTATGAATTGACAAAGTCAACACAAACATGATAAGCGATTTCATTAGTGTAAAAACATGCTGTTTTTATAAATCCATACAACTATCAAATCCAACAATCTCCATATGGTTTGTTATCTTTACCAATTCTCTTCCTTGACAAAGTAAAGTATATACCATTCTGAAGAACTCTGATTCATATGCTAGATACAAGATGAGATTTTGTAAATCTTAGTTTAATATTATTTTGATAAAGCTATTAGCAGTGGTGAACAGTGAAACTTCAGTAAAAACAACCATCTCATTTTACTTTTTAATTCATTATATCTCTATTTTGAGGTCTTCAGTTTTGCTTTTTGAGATCTGTATCAATACAAGTGAGTATAAACATAAATAAACCCATGGGAGCAACTGATAACACGGTCAGTATTTAAGTAACACTAATTCTTCCTCCATAAACACTTGTCAATTTTTATTTCACATTAAAGTTAGTACCGAAAACGTTACTCACAGAGAAAGTGAAACCTTCACAACCAAGAACCAATCAGCTTAGCGAATACTACAACACCAAAGACATCCACCTGAACTATTACACTTTCACCACAGAATAATCTTACTTGATAAAACAATGACAGAGTGTCATTTATTTGCAGATGACGATCTGAGCACAGTGTATTGCTTATGTGATTATAAGCAACAGCTGTCTTCTTTTGATAAGGAAAATCAGATGGTCAATCGGAAAGGGGGCAACAAGCATCGAGGAACTCTAGTAGGCGGTGAACTAGTCAAACAGATACTGTACAACAAATATGCAGAAAGAAACGAACTCCAAGGAGACATTCAACTAACACAAAACATCGAGCCTTTTAGTGGAAGCCAAATGAGAAGCATTGAGTTAGATATTCAAGTGTGAAATGAGGGAAATAATCTGAGTAGACAGTCAAAGCTTACGGGCAGTTCAAGTGTTGGTTTGTAGGGATTTGGTTGATTGGTTACAGGATTTTATCATGAGCTGACATTGGTTAGAGAACGATTGGAAAACCTGGGAGTACTGGACAGCTGTTTCGTCGTAGTTACGGTGCAGCAGGTTGGGTGTGAGGACAAATATTCGCCGAAGACATTGGCTAGCGGTTGCGCTATATTGTGAATTGGCAGATTCTAAATCAACTCAATCAGAACTACAAATGTTTCTTAATCTAAAGTAGAGCGAATGAATTAAATTCCTTTTCCAGGAGATAGGCACCCAACTATAAAAATTAGTTCGTTTTTCATTCCATGTACGTTTCCGCTGGATAGATCTTTTGAGAGATCTGTCATTGCATCTAATAAGGCAGACAGTGAGAAACGGAATACTTAGTTCGGATTCTTTTTCTATGGTAAATTGTAAAGAAGGATGACAGTTGTTGAAAGCAAACAAGACATCATCAGAAATTACGTTATTATTATAGATAACGAAAGTGTCATCCACGTATCTTTTATAAATGTTGAAATGATCGATTGTTTAACTAAGTTGAGAGTTTGCAAGCTTTGTTATAAAACAGTCAGCCAGCAGGCGACCCCAGTGCCGATCCCATCGCAATGCCATCTATTTGTATCGTAAACAAATATTTGCTTGATACATTCAAATAAGCTGGTTGTCTGGGTATGTTTTTTTCCGGTGCACCATTTGCATAGTGCCTGATGAGTGCATACGTTGAAAGAACAGTGGTCCTCTAACCAATGTTAGCTCATAATGAAATCCTCGAACCAATGAATGGTATATACCTACTCATCTCAGTCAATCAGTAGTATACAGTTTTATACGAATAAATAGTGGATGGTGACTAGCAGTGGAATTCAGGATGCGCATTTCGTCCTATTCGGGACTCGTCATTTGGATGTATCTGCATTGCCTAGTGATGACGTTCCCACCGAGGCTTGAACCCATTACCCATATGTTTGCTTTCTCTTTTACGACTTTTAATTATCAAGCAGCGAAGAAATACTACCTCTTTTTCAGCAATTTCATTTTCGTAGCTGGACAGTCGTATTTATATTACTGAAAAAGGCATTAATTAACACTAGAAATTGCTCAGTCAGTATGACACATATGATAAGAATAAAGATAATTAAAATGATGCATTAAGTGGATAGAGTTGAAGTGGATAAATTACAAAAATCTTCTAAAGATTATTAAATAAGTTGACATCAAGATTTTTTTTAATTGTAGGTCAAGTGTTGATGATAATAACAATAAAGACGGTGAAGATTAATTGAAGTGAAATGAAATGAATTCAAGTGGTAAAATAGAATAAAATATAAGAAGATTACTATGATCAAGGTAAAGAAAGGAGTTTAACAAAACAATCTGGAACACGTCTAATTATGTTGGCCGTAGCTAGAGAATGCTTTCCACACGTATGCGAGAACATATTCTAGCATGGTACGAAGCTCTATTCTACAACACCTGATGGACTCCAGTCACTCTGCCAACTCTGACCATGATTTTAAGATTTTCTTATCCAAACATCCTTTTCATTTTTGTTATTTTTACATTTCTAACCCCGAATTGTACAATATGTCAATCTTCTCAGTAATCATGATGCTACTTTGTTTGAGTTTTATCCGTCCCTAATTGTAATTTTATTAATTTGACCCTTAACCAGAAATTATTCTGGAACTTTCCCATCCATTTGTTATAAATACATGAATGTACAGCCTAGTTGATGATTTCGTCGAAAAGTAAATTTTCTTCGCTGCAACTGTCTTTTTAATGATTTTAAGATCATCTACCGATTCCATGCTAACTTGCCACGTTTTCTTCGTTACAGACTTCTAAAGACAGCTGAGGCCTTGGCAATTGATGACTTTA